ATTCCTGCCAAACTTATTTAATCTGAATCTAATCATTAAATAAAACCAGATTGCTGAACTTTTGTAAGACACCTGGCCTAAATTCTTTCAAAAGTCAGCTTCATAAAAAACAAAAAATAGGCTGGGAGCCTATTCTAAATAAAAAGAGAATAAAAAAGCGTGTCACTTCAATGTGTTATCTTTGATTCGAGTTTAGACAGAAATTAACAACAATAGATAAAAAGACATTACTGGGCCCACTGGTGAAATTTCAGCAAGTGTGCATATCAGACAATGTCGCACCCATGTTAAATGTCTTGGATGTAATAATGATATTATTAAAAAATTAGGAGTTCTTAAGAGATGCAAGCTGAGATGCACATTGGTGTTCTGTACCATCTTGCAAATGGTTTATTTGGAACAGCAAATGGAATTTATGTCGATAGAGAGCCAGTGTGGTGAAATGTTGGCCATTAGTGAATCTGGATGAAGAGTGTGTGAATGGAGTTCATTTTACTACTTGTGCAACTTTTCTGTGAGTTTAAATTTTTCAAAATAAACGTTTGGATATAAAGAAGGAAAAAAGATAAATAGAAATGAATGCTGTTTCATAACTCATTACTGGTAGTCGTTCTTTGTCACCTGTAGTTAGTGGCTTAGTGATAGTTGGGCTAAAATATTACCCATGTAAAGTCAGACTCTTAACAGTGGCCTGACTTTATTTCACTCACATGCTGTACATTTTAGTTCTAGGCTCTTGTTCCATGAACTTACAGTGAGGGAGTCATCAGCCTGTAATTTTACTGGTGGCACTGAGAATCATGATTTTCCAAGTCATAATAAGCCCCAACTGTGGTTCAGTGAGATTTTATCACATATATATTTGTAGAATGAATGGAAATGCATATCTTATAGATAGTAACATCCTATGACTGGTTTATTCATGGGGGTGTGGTGGTTGTTAGTAAAAGGATGCAGTCATTAGACACTTTTTGTGTCCTACCTCCCATCCTCTTATCCCACCTTCGTATACCAGCTCTTGCTACAGTGACCAGCTGTGCACAGGCATGACCTGCTAGCACCTGGCCTCAGCTGCAATGCCTTTCACTCATTTTCTGTCCTGGGCATTCTCTGCCACCATCCTACTTCTTGGGACAGATATGAGAAAGTGTAAAACCCCATAGGCAATCCGAAACTGCTAGAAAGCTGCAGCCTGAGTGTAAATATCTACTCTCCCATCCCTCAGGTGGAACCATCTGAGGCACATTTTCAGGGCTCTTCAGAGGACGAGTCTTCTCCCAGGATGATGGAGTCCTAGTTGCCCACGTTGCTGACCAGCTCAATATAACACCTTTGAATTGGCTTTTTTTTCTTCTCTACTTAACTCTTCGTAGTCCCTCAGTACTGTTTCTTGGGATTGGTTCCCAAAATAAATGACCTACATGCAAACCTTTGTCATGGGCATTGCTTTTTTTGGCAGGACCTAGGCTAAGGCAATGGAATCTTTGGAATCTTTCTAGTTATGGTTGAAGAGTGTGGGGGCTGTTATTATTATAATGACCACTTTATAAAAGTTTGTGCAGGATCTGGAAAAGGCTTTAGGCACTGAGTCAGGAGAACCTTCCTTGTTTGGCCTTGGGCAAGTCATTTAACCATCTGGTAACTGGCAAAGCTACAGCGATAGCTAAAAAGAAAACATGTTGGTAAGTCTGTAGGATTCTGCTAGCTGGTTATAGAACTGTTGTTCCTGGTATCTAGTAGAAGGTGCCAGGAATAGCAAGATAGCCCTTAAATCTAAAGGTACAAAGAGAGTAAATGAGAATACCAAGAGAAGGACTGGTGATAGGCCTTGGGGCGGGACATTCGTTATTTGAACTGAGACATAAAAGGGAGACATGAGAGTAACACAGGCCCATTCTAATTCCTAATGGGGATTGAAATGTCGGAGCAAAGCTATTATCATATTTACAGGACCCCCACCTCACGTTGCTCTATTGTCTGGTTTTTGTGCAAAATTCCACAGCCTTAGGCTGGAACTTGTTAATAAATTACATCAACCTAATAGGAGAAACTGAAAACGGAGAGCAGTCCCAACCTAGAGGGAAGGGGGAGTAGGGAGGCTGAAAACCAACTGAAGTTTTACAAGTACAGGCTGGTTGTTCACCATAATTACTTGTTTCATTGTACACCTCAAGGTAATTCTGTGACTTTTGAGTCTTTTAGTGGTTAGATACTGCAGTGACTTAGGGCATAGGCAGTTGATATATTTTCTCCTACACTAAAGTACTGATGTTGAAGAGCTGATTAAATCCTGTCTCTTTACTGATACCCCAAGGGAATACTTAATGAATGATGCTTCCCTTAAGAAGAAGAATAATTAACAATAGCTGTATTTTTCATATTAATTTATAGTTACTGGTTGCTATAATTAATGCTATTTATGAAAATCATCATAATTATAGCATTTTACAATTTACAAAGTATTTTCCCATCCATTTTCTTATCTGAATCTTGTAATATCCCTCTGGCTTAGGTGGGGCAGGTGATGTTCTCTTCATTTTATAGATGAGGAAACTATGGCCCAGGGAAAAATTTAATCAGACTTCAATCCACCACACTTGCCAATATATTATGCTGTCTATGAGTATGTGGAAATATACTTATGAAATTCATATGTATTATAATATTTTATGTCTGCACACAAGAAAATCAAGTTCACTTGGTTCTCAGTTGCCTCCCATAACAATAATGTCCTACTTTTCCTTGTTGTGACCCATTACCAAGAATGTTCACATGAATTTTAAATGTTAGATCTTTTTCTTAATGGTACCAAAATATTTCCTAGTTATTAATGCCCTTTGAGATAAAGATGAGATCACCTCTGATAGAGGAATTAGACCCACTGGCTTTAGAGAGTTTAATCAGACTGGAAATTCAGACTCGGAAAAGAAAATCAAGCTGTCATATCACTGTTTTTCTATTTTTGGCTGTGGCGAGGGAGCCGAGGAAAATGTCTCAATTTCACAAGGCCATCCTTTCAATCTAGGCCATATAGCCTGATATACACATAAACACAAGTGTGCACATGCATGCACACGTGTGCACACTGAGCTTTTTTGGTTCTTTTAAAATACCATATCCTAGAGCATTCGCTCCTTCCTGTTGTACATCTGGCTGCTTTTACCCAAAGACCTTGGTATGAAAAAGATTATTGGATGGACCTGTGCCAGAGTCTGTCATTATTCATTCATGTATTTATTAAAGAAATATTCATTGAACACTTACTTGGGTCAGGCTCTAGACAAGATTCTAGGGAAACAGGAACAAAACAGACAAAATTCTAGCTCTCATGAAGCCTACATGTTCTAAGGGGAGAGACTGACAATAAACAGACAAATACACATAAAAGATATTGTTAGATGGTGGGAGATATTCTTAGAAAAATATACAAAACAGGATGAGGGGATAGGGTAACAAAGAAGGGTCATAACAGTACTTCTGGAATGAGACCATCACGAGGCTGCTCTAGATGATGTGAAATGTGAAATCCATATTTAAAGCGAGCTCTCAAACAAGGAAGCCGACTGTCTTGTGAGGTAGGTGGCTATCTAGGTTTGGCTCCCAGGGCCTGGGCCATAGCTGCATAAGCAGTTGATGTTAACAGTGTGCCTGGGATATATCAGGTCCAGGAGGAGTTAAGTCATGTTGACTAAATTCATGAGAGACTGACCAACACAGTATACTAGATCCCATTAAGTTGCTTTTGCACAGGGACATTTTAAATAAGTTCCAGGACTCAGGGAGGGTGGCCTGGTGAGCAAGCTACTAGGGCAAAAGGAGCTAGTGATCTAAATAGGCAATGCCATTACGTATTACTCCTGACATCGCATAGTCGCTAAAAGGGTGGATTTACTTCAAGGGTTGTAAGATTTAATGCTAGCCTATCAGGACACTCTAGTTGTTGTTCTTGTTGTTGCTGCAGGTATTCTAGTTTCCTGGCCAATGCTTTATCTAAACTCATGCAGACAGTAGATACTGTCTTGGTATTTAACCTTCTTAGACAAGTCTAATCGAGTTGATTAGATTATAGTAACTTTCTCCTATTTCATTCCTATCGAGTTTTGCTGAAGATATACTTAGGGCTCTTGGTGGAGTCTTAAGAGACACTCACGTCACACCTACACGATCATTCTTATATTGTCACTTTAAAATCTTATTCTCACTTCACTCTGCCTCCAAATCCTAGGGCAACCTCACTTTATATTTCCTTGCTCTGAACTCTAGGCAGTTTGCTCGTTTTTCCCAAACCTGCTCATAATTCCTGGAAAAGCCCTGTGGCATTGTTCCTGCCCTATACTCTCCTCTCATTGATTCTGAGTGCAGGTAAACAGGCATTGACTTATGAAGTCCATAGGTCCTGACTTCATCATCAGTGCTTACTGCCACTTGCTTCCTCTGCAGCCCCTTGGCCAGAACCCTGAGAAGTCTCTTTCTAGTTCATGTTTTAGGAACATTGCTTGGGTCTTCCCATCTCTCTCTCACACATGCACACCTAATAATACCCACCGACCCCCAGACTCCAAACACTCTCATGTCTTCAAATACCAACTCCTCTCTCTGGACTGTCGGTCTCCCTTCCTTGCCCCTTGCTGCTCCCATAAAATGCCATCATTCTTGGCAATGGTTTCTGAACACAAACAGCTTGTGAGATCTCTTCAGTTCCTTTTGCCTCTTAAGTGCGGGGATGGAGGCATTCATTTTCTTGCATTCTCATCCGAAAAAAGGAAAATTGCTTCTAAATAAATGTGTCTGGAGGAAAATCACCTTGTATTTTTCAGTTTTCGTATCTGTCAGAAAGAGATAATTTTACCCCCAGTCTATCTCACTGAGATTTTATAAAAGCTAAAAAATAAATGAGGTGCAGAAAAAGTTAGACAAAGCCATAAGATAACCTGAGAAATTTGCACTTATAACAATATCAGTGGAAATTTCCTTTCTTAACATGCATGTGTTGCTCCCAGCAGGGAAATCCCGGAGGCAAGACCCTGGAGGAGAGACGCTCCAGCCTAGACGCGGAGATCGACTCCTTGACCAGCATTTTGGCTGACCTTGAGTGCAGCTCCCCCTACAAGCCTCGGCCCCCACAGGTTAGTGTTGCCCATGAATGTCTCTCCACAGGGAACGACGCAAATATTCCACATTTATCTGAAAGGACAACTTCCATCTTAACAGCCCTTTCATTTTTTTTTTTTTTGATCTTGTCAGAGCCAATGGTCTAAGTTGTTGTTTTATTTAATATCAACATGTGTTAGTTCACTGGCAGAAATTTCTTAAATTGACTTTATGAGTACTTCATTGAAAATCACACAGTGTTATATAAAATATTATAAAAATGTAAATCTCTTCTTATTCCATTGCCCTTCTCTTTTTCTAGCTTGCCTATATGGATATTTTATTATATTTTGTGAACAATCTTCACAAATATGATTTAGCTTGGCTATGGGAGGTTAAGGTGAGGGGCTATGTCTTTTGCAATGAAATTCCTTATGTTGGATATTGAGGTAACTTCCTTTTTTTTTTTTTTTATCATTGTAAGTAATGCTACAAGGGTCATATTTGTGTATATTTTCTTTGGAGCTATTTCCCAGCCTCAGTCGCCTAAGAGTGGGTTTCCTACAATAAGGAGTAAGACCGCTTTATTTACTTTTCTTTCCAAAGGTTGTGGATAGCGTATACTGGCACCAACAATTTGAATATATCAGTTTCTCCTCAAATTCACCAGAATTTTGTGATAGCAATTAATCTGTGTTTTTTTAGGCACAAATGGTACCTTGTTATCAGTTTTTCTTTGCATTTTTTACTTACTTTGGAGCTTGGCTATTTTTCTCCATCTTTGCTTATTATCTGAATTTCCGAAGCTGATCTTCCTCTGCTACTGATCGTTCCCTGCCTCTCTGAAGTCTCGAGAAGGTTGTGGTAAGTCTGTTCAGGGCTTCCAAGTCCTCAGAAGACAGCCATGAGAACTCTAGATGCAAACATTGGACAAGCACTATTGTCACTGTGTTTGATTCTTGCGTGACATTTGCTTGACTAAATGACAGTGCGCCTGACATTCTGAGTCCCTTTCCAATTCTTGAACGGGAGCTGCTATATTAACAATAGTTTCTTGCACGAATTAAAAACCAGTCCTGCTTCTCTGCTGTCAGTCAGTTCAACAGTTAGCTGCACATAAGGTTGCAGTGCTCTCCTCTTTAGATACATTCCCATTACCTTTTCTAAACATATAATGGGATTGTCAGCTATGTGGGGGTACAAGGCAAAACATACTAGAGCTTAGCTGTTCCTTAGCTATCTATGCTCTTGGCTCCACCAGTCCTGTCAGCAGTAAAAATGTACTTCATTTCTATAAATATGTACTGAGCTGCTGGTATGTAGCAGGCACTGTGGTCTTTTCAGGGAACTGATAGGAGCAGAAAGTGGATGGTTAAAAGGAAGAGAAATAGGACTCAGTTGTCATCTTCTAATAGTCCATAATATTAGAGAAATTAAACTATGGCCCGTATTGCAGAAATACAAGGAAGAGAGTGATACATTCTTTGAAGGTCGCAGAATCTGAGAATTCTTCTCAGAAGATTTTTATGTTCAGCTGGAGGGATGGGTGGGATAATGTTCTTGGAGACAAGAGGGGAAAATAGCCTGAGCCACAGGGTAGCAAGCTCCAGGCTGCGTTTAGAGAACGGTAAGCAGCTTGGTGGTGGCAGATGAAGCTGCTGAATGCTTGAAGTGGACTATAGGTCCTGAAGGTTTCCTACTGACAGTGTGTAGGCAAGTTTGAATGTTAGATTAAGACTTTAGCCTGTTTTTTGTAGATTATGGGATTATTTCAAGGTTCTCAAGCAAGGGAAAGCTAAAATTCATTATGAAAAAGGAACATAGAAAACAAGATCAACTCTAGAAAGATATAGAATGGGCCCAGGTAAGAGAAATATTCCCCAGCAAGCCATGCTTACTTCATAGTTTCCGACCATTGTTTGATATTCAGCAATTTTCCAATTCTACTCAAACAAATTCATCAAGCCTAGTTTCTGAAGACAGCAAGGTCACTGACTTTGCCACTGGACTTAGCTGTATTATGCCCAAATATTTCCATGCATTCTTCCTCCTATCTATCTATCTACCTATCTATCTATCTATCCATTCATCCATCCATCCATCCATTTAGCTTATTGTTTTCTCTCCTAAATTCTTATAGCTTAATATATACCAAGGAGATCATGCTTTGAGATTTTTGCTTCATGTAGTCTTCATTCTTTAAGGCTGTGTATCTATACATGCCTCCCATAAACCACTGCCTTTTAATAGATTTATTCGGTAGCTACATTTTGTTTGCGCAATCATTCTGAGCACACAGATTCATAATCACCAGTGTTTGGACAGTGCTGATTATGAAGCACTTTCACATCTATTCTTACTTGATTGAGATAAAGATATCTCAACTCTGAGAAATACACATGGTGTAGTTATTTCATGGATGAGGAAACTAAGACACACCAAGAAGAGAAGTGATTTGTCTCTGGCCACGTCACTACTGTGTGAGTACAAGTGGACTTTGGGTTTAGGCTTGGGCTTGATTTTAAGTTGACATTTGAGGTGTGTCAAGTTTTGTTTTGTTGTTTTTACTATTGACAAAAACTACAAAATTAGTCATATGAGCAACAGTGTCCCTTGAATATGGCTTTCCTGTAAAAAGAAAAACATTCAGAAGGTTTAAAAAGAATTATGATGGCCCTTAAGTAGAATAAGTTCATAATTAGGGTAAAAGCTACTTTCAGTGTGCCTGCTCCATTCTAATTCTTCTTCATTATTCTAATTTAGGAAAGCAAGAGTTAATTGGGAGATATAGCTCATCCTTCTGAATTATCTTTACTCTGGTGGAACTGAGTTAGATGTGGTAGTATTTATTGGTTAACATAATTATAGCTGTGAGAACAATAATCACACACTTAAAATATCAAAAATATGTGCCAAGAGAAGATGTCTACAGTAGACTGTGTTGTGTTGTAATTAAAAGGTACTTGAAAAGTCCTAGAAATATAGACTGTTAATGCCAAACTTTGATGTTTCCATTTTTTATCCAGAGCAAATTTCAAAACCTATTGAGTCATCTGAATACTTAAAGTAGGCTAGTAGGTCTGTGAATTCTCAGTAGTCAAGCGTGCATTGTGTGCTTTCCTGAATCTACCCCTTAATCACTTTTGTAAGGCTGCTTTGACTCATGGGTTTAGGGCAAAGGATATGTATATGGAATGTTAGTATAGTAAGCGGTTCCAGGGAGCTCCGTCTACATACAACTGTGAAAAATGTCTGAGCTCCTGAAAATGGGTTTTACTGAAGCATTTCCTTCCTTTTATTCAAAGGAGCATTTTTCACTCCCGTATTTCCTGACTTTAGTTCTGTTTACTTATTTATCCATATGTTGATTTGGGATTATGTGGTTTAATTCCACATATTCATCCATTCATTCTTCTATTCACTTAACGTTTGTTTAAATCCTACTATGGATTAATTATTGAAGATATAGAGGTTAGTATCAACATGTCCTTGCTTTGGAATAATTCTTAATCCTACAAAAGAAATAGGCATATATACAGTCCTAAGGGAAACAAAATAAGGGCTTAGATGTGCTAGTTATCAAGTGACTCACCATGTGTTGACATTGCTGGAAGATAAAAAAGAGTATCAACAGTATACCTTACACTTTCAGTGTCAATGAGGAATGCATAGAACAGGTAGCATTTGAGGTCACTGGCTTCATGTGTTATGGGAAGGGCATGGGATTCAAGGTGCAAGAATAACAGAAATGAGAAAGTCAAGGAATGTTGAAAGTGAATACCTTGTTTGAAGAATAAGCTAGTTTAATAGAGTATGAGGAGTGTAAAAGGGAATGACAGATGAAAAAAATCAAATGTATTTAGTACCTAAGTAGCCCTCTTTATGCCCAAGGACTCTGAGAGTAAGAAGAAACTTAGGGGGTGTAGCTACAGTGTTTCTGGCTACAGTGGATTTGGGGGTAACAACTTTAGCATATGCAAGGTATGTAAATATACATCCATGACACTGTATAGATTATGCAATTAAACTACCTTAGTGTTTGAAACTAAAATTTCCAAACATTTAAAAATGTATGTAGTAGGAAATAGTTTTAGAAGAACACATTTGAGAAGTTTGGAGGTGATCCTGGGGTGAATTGCAGATCCACTGTGATCACAGAACATCGGAGCTTGAGTGAGCCTTCTAGGTCATGTAGCCAAAGTCTTACTGTACTGAAAAAACGTTTTTGACCAGAGAAGAAAGGACATGTTTTTGACCAGAGAAGAAAGGACATAGCTCACTAAGATTTAGGGGCAGTCTTAGTGATTCTTTTTCTTTTTCCTGAACTATGACCTAATAGTTCTCTGTGATGATAACAGCAACCAAGGGATAGTTTGGTTCCCTTTAGTATCACAATTAGTTTATCCAAAATGTCTCTCTTTTATGGAACTTCTTTAAAATATGTCTTGAACACATTAAAAAGGATTATATATATCAAAAATATACCACTAAGGTGAACAGAAAATTTATGACAGTATGGCATCCTTAAGCTAATGTATATATGAACCCCACCCGTTGAATGTCATTCGTTAGTGTAAGTACAGTGTAGACTCTTTGGAGAAACTACACAGGGGGTTGGACTGAAATTCTGTCTATTTCTATGAAGATCAGGGATCAGTCATGGACTTGAGATTTTTTTCCCTTACCTTGACAGAGTCAGAGGTAGAGTGCTGGTCTTTTAATTCCTAGTGCAAGACTATCTTTCCTTCTCCACACTGAATTTGGTAGGGTTGGAGCTGGTACCCGGGTGACTTGGAAGAATTTTCAGTTACCTTATATTAATATTTCATGGTAACTGGGGGCAGAATAATTTTTTAATCAAGTTGCTTTTAAATTGATGAAATGGGATTTCACTACCCTCATTTAGACTAGTGTGATACTGTGAAATAAGAAATATATATATATGTTTCTACTGCTGGTTCCTGACACAGTGTTCTTAAAACCTTTGTAATTTCCTAAGTGGTAGGGGTGCTGGGAACATTTTTTGTTCTAATAT